ACTGGTTTTGGTGTTGTGCTGCAGTTAAGACGATTTCTAGAAACATTCTCTGTGTGCTTAAGAGTTGGCTTGTGGCAGAGATCAGATAACAGCAACAGAGTTTTCGTGCTGCATAACCAAAGTGTTTTGAGATCCGGAGCAGTCCGATGTACACGAGAGATAGTACCAGCGACCAAAATTTGTTCCAGGGGTTATGCGCTTAACGTCCTCATAGAAAGCCCAGATCCCCTAATAAATCAGGGGTAGCTCTCCGCACGTCATGCCACTTTTCCTTGAATCCTTTACAGATTTCACAGGAACGTGAGATGTGGCTTTGTAGAGTTACACGTGTACAGGATGTTAAGACAAAAATTAGAAGGTACAAATTAGGTTTCAATTTGGAAAGTCAAAACGAATGGTAAAAGTTGGTAACAGGCGTTGTAAAGAAGAAAGAGACGCTTGCACCTCTCTTTTGTAGAACAGTGAATATAAAGGGGAATAATCTTTAAGCAATACGTTATTGGCTATGTTCCTTGTTGATTTAGTTTCTCTTTGTCTCTCCGGCCTGTTGCTTTGCCGTGTTCGTAGAAGGAGCATCGGCCTGGTTTCACTTCTGCTTCTATTTTAATCAGTTTCACTTTCCACCTTTCAGTGCTTGAGAAGCGCAAAGCATGTTTACTGGGATTACAGTAAGGCAGTTATATAGTGTAGATTGGACTTTTTTTAAAAAAAACCTAAGGCACAGGGAGAGCTAAATCCAGGGGGCCAGTTAGAGAAGATCCGTTGAATCAACGAGGTTTTGGTAAATCAACGGTTTTGAAAGATGCGGTGATTCAGCAGGTCTGTCTGCAGCTGGGACAAACCATTCGATGTGGCTTGGGATGAAACTGCTTTTTTTTTGTAATTTTATATTTGGTATTCAGCATGCACTGTGTCCTCCATTCACAATTGAAGACATTCCATTGACGTCCCCATTTTTGTATTTGCACTCGGATAGCGGGGAAGACATATTGAAGATTTTTAAAAAGGTATTGGACAGATTCATAAAGAACAAGCCTATTTGTACAGTAGTTCTGCCCAATGGGAGCCGTGTAGAGCTTCTGTGTGCAGGAGCAGTATATACTGTATATTGATTTCAGAGGTGGGAACTGCGAGAGGGGCGGGACCTTGCCATGGCTTCTGGCTTGCAGGGTCCTTCGGAAACACACTTCTGGTCTCTGAGGGAGACAGAAGGCACTCTAGCTGGCCTTTTAGGTTCTTGTATGTATGTGGCTGATTGTAGAACGTGGCGAGTCAGTGAACAGACTGCAGATAGCTACGTACAGACATGACCACCTTTGATGGAGGGAACATTTGCTAATGTTTCCCCATAGCCATAAATCTTCCCGCACATAGAAAACTAGGATGTCAAGGATATGGCTCAGTTAAATATTTCCCCGGGTCTGTAGTTTACGGTGATAAAGATCCAGAGTGAAAGGGCTGTTCCGTGTAATTCTTTCAACCGTGTAACTTCTGTTTCATGGGGATGAGTGGCCTTCCTTGTGACATCCGTTCTACCTTAATCATTGCTCAAGGTCCAAGTCCACAGTCATTGAAGCCCCTCCTGTGCTTAACTTCCTTTTTATTGCCTTTTCCTGAACTTGTGAAAACGACGGAGGCCACGGTCACCTCAGACCACGCTGCACCGTGTGCAGGAGGAAGGGAGGGAAAAGTGGCTATATGTAACTTTTTTTCCCCTTTCTTAATTCACTGGATAGCTCAAATGAGGGTGGATTTGATGTAAATCACGATTAATTTTTTGGAAAAAAAATCAGATGGTTTTGACGATTTCAATAAAACATTTCTTTCTAAATTGCGATTTGAATCAATTTGGTTTTTTTTTAAAAATTGTTGATTTTTATCCACCCTACTCAAAATTAGCCTACGGGGCCAACTGTTGTTGTGACCTGTCGTCAAGTTGGAACCCATGTATAGCCACCGGCCCTGACAGGATTTTCAGGGCGAGAGAGATTTAAGGAGTGTTGTGAGTTTCCATAGCCAAGTGGGGATTCGAACTCTGTTCTTCAGGGTCCTTGTCTGTCATTCAATCTGTCCACTACACACCATGCTGGGAATTCTACAGTGAAAACCCGTGTTGCGTGGGGCCAGATTTATTTCTGTGACTTTTAAGGTAAAGCTGGAGAGGTCTGCTTCCTTTTAAACCTAAAAACATCTGAATATTGGCAAATGTGAAAAGTTTCACATACTTCAGGTCTCTTCCTCCTGAATTTTCTCTTGTAGCCCCCAGCGTCCTTGGTGAGTCATTCTTTCCACACTAAAAAAAAAATCTGGATCTGTTCTCGATCATCCCACAACCATGGGCTCAAGTTGCAGGAAGCCAGATTTTGGTTGAATCTCAGGAAAAATACACTCACAACAAAAACACACTGATCACCATAATCACCCATCTCCTGAAAAAGCCAAAAGCTGATCCCACAGCCATAAATACTCAACTCCCCAAAAAACTGCACCAGAGTACAGAGTTCTGACTCCTGTCCTTTGAAGGTGCCGGCCACAGAGACGGGCGAAACGTCAGGAAGAACAACCTTCAGAACACGGCCAAAGGGCCCAAAAAACTCACAACAACAATCAGGAAAAATTCCTTAACTGTTAGAGCAGTATGACGATGAAACCCATGAGCTTAGGAGGTAGCCAGTGCTCCAACACTGGAGGCCTTTGAGAGAAAATTAGACAACCAGATATACTTTTGATTTGGATTCCTGCCTTGAGCAGGGGTGGAGGACTCGATGGCCTTATTGGCCCCATCATTCTGTGATTTTATGACCCCTGTTTGCACCGGAGTCGAGTTGCGAAGGTGCAGCAGAAAAAAAAATGAATGAGGGTGGGAAAAAATTCTTCTGTTCTCCATCAGCCTTCGAATACCAGATTCCAACCATGACCCTCAAACTCCTCTGGACTCTGTTCACCGAGTTTGTTACACACTCGCCCACATCCCTGAATCTAATGGCTATTCCCAGTTGGAACAGACCTGCCGAATCCATTGCTTGGTGGTGAGTCAGTGCTTAAAATCCCGCTGATCAATAGGTCTGCTCTAATAAGAACTGTCGATAGGATCCAGGTCTCTGGTGGCCATGTTCTTATTTTCTTCTTTTGTCTATTTGATTTGTGCTTTATTTCCATTACCGTTAGGTGGTCTCAGAAATGGGTGGGTCGTAATGGGTTAGGAACCTTTTTTTGGTATTTGCATGCATGCAAGAAGAAGAAGGTTGGAGGTTGTGATGGGTAATTGATTAGATGCTGATCACATCTCTTTCATTCCAACCATGACCCTCAAACTCCTCTGGATTCTGTTCACCGAGTTTGTTACACACTCGTCCACATCCCTGAATCTGATGGCTATTCCCAGTTGGAACAGATCTGCTGAATCCATTGCTCAGCAGTGAGTCAGTGCTTAAAATCCCGCTGATTCAATAGCCGCCTAGAGTGGTCGAATACGATCAGATAGGCGGGATAGAAATAAAATAAATAAATAAAATAAATAAATAAATTCTACTCTAGTAAGAACTGCCGATAGGATCCAGGTTTTTGGTGGCCATGTTCTTATTTTCTTTTTCTTTTTTGTCTATTCGATTTGTGCTTTATTTGCATTACTGTTAGGTGGTCACAAAAACGGGTGGGTCGTAATGGGTCAGGAACCTTTTTTTGGTATTTGCATGCATGCAAGAAGAAGAAGGTTGGAGGTTGTGATGGGTAATTGATTAGATGCTGATCACATCTCTAATTGTGTTTGATTATGCCCCTCAAACACACGCGATGTGCCCAAGCCAACGTAGACGTCACATCTCTAATTGTTTTGTTTTTGATTATGCCCCTCAACACACGGGTGCCCAGCATTTGTCCGTTAGCCACAATTAGCTATGGCTACTTCCATGATTCCTCTAGCTTGGCCATCATTATTGTAAGGGATTTCAACCATTGGTTTTCTGCAATTTCCCATTATGGCTTAAAAATCTACCGGTTCATCCCAACTTGAATCGATCCGTTGTATCAATGGGGACTTGCTAAAAGCTCTTTTCCAAGTCCTGTCCGTTCAGTGGGTCTAAAACCCATGTCGCTGGAGACCAAGACCATTCCCACTCTTAGATTTCCAATCACCAGGTATGGGTGCGAAAGCTGTACAGCTAAGAAATCTGACAGGGGAAAAAATGGATTTATTTGAAATGTGGTGCTGGAAGAAAGCTTTATGGATCCCCTGGACTGTCAGATTGATGAACAAGTGGGTCCCAGATCAAAATGAAGCCTGAACTGTCTCTGGAGGGGAAAATTACAAAATTGAGGCTGTCCTACTTTGGGCAGATCACGAGAAGCCAGGATTCTCTGGGAGAGACAATAATGTTGGGAAATGTAGAAGGCAGCAGGAGAAGGGGAAGACCCAATACGAGATGGACTTATGAATACTAAGTCACAGGATGGCTCCTTTTTATGTAGAGTATCGGCCATCGACTATGTTTATTTTGCCAGGGGTGTGTGTAAAATACAATGGCCTAATGTCCTAAAAATCACAGGGTTTATTTCTTGAAAAAACCAAGTTTCTGATCCTCATGACAGGAAAAATAGGTGTGCAAGTGTCTGAGTAATGGCTGCGAAGATCGCAGAAGTCAACAAGGTGGCTAAGTAAGTTTTTCCAGTGGTTTTCCAGCAGGCATGTCGTGATTTGGAAAATTCTCCCTTCCCTTCCCTCCATTATGGACTCGCCAAACCAGAACGGTGGGTGGAAAATGGCCGGATGAGTCATATTGTGCAATTTTGCACACAGCAGCATGCAGCTTGCAGAATTGGTGTGTTCTTAATCTCGAGGTTGGCATGAAATGTCTGGAGGAGGCTGTCATTTGTGTGTGTGTGTTTTAAGCCCCGAGTTCACTCGAGCATTCTTGAGATCCAGCGTCGCATTAATGTGTAAAGTTTCGGATTCCTTTCTCAGTACATCGGTCTGTTTTCTTTCCTCCTCCTGTCTAACGCAGGACGCGCCTTTCTCCGAACACAGCAAAGCCAGTGGTTAGCTCAAGAGAGAACTTGAGGAGACCCCTGTTTTCCCCCTACGCCTGCTTCTGTAACCAAACAGAGGTAAAAATTCAGTGTTTACAGACAGACACAAAACCGCATCTGGATGCATTGTCCCTTTGAACGTGGCTTTGAATTTCGCATCGGCACTTTTAGTTTCAATTTGCATTCGATTCCGGTCCTGGTGGAGCTTTGTGATATAATACAAGGGAGGAGTTTATGCCACACGAGTCAGGCTGTTTGCTTTGCGGTGGATTTACTTTCTGTTGGCCTGGTGCTTTGCTAGAGAAGAGCCAGGGTGTTCTTGTTCCTGGCCAATAAAGCATGCAAAATAATCTCCGGTTATAAGTACAGTACTTGCCCGGATGAGATTACCGTATTTTTCGCTCCATAAGACGCACCTTTCCATAAGACGCACCAATTTTTCCTGGCCAATAAAGCATGCAAAATAATCTCTGGTTATAAGTACTTGCCCGGATGAGATTAAATGTGGAGCTCAGTCTGATGCGTCAACGGCCCAGTTAAACCAGTCATGCCTTAAATGCATAGCAAAGAATCCTTCCATATGGCAGGAACCCATACCCACATGTGTCCAGTACAGATGGGTGTTTGTTTTTTGTTCATTTTTTAACACTGACGCCTTGAATTCTACAGAAATTGCCCCAGCTTGAAATCTGGGGGGGGGGGGCTTCTTCCCACTTCCCCAAAAAAACCCTCAAGTGTTTGGTAAAATTGGCAGCTGGTGCACAGATAAGGGGAAAAAAAAACTCCCTTGCTGGATTTGGCTGGGCAGGGCTAAGCTCTGTGGTGTTGCAAAGCATTATGGGCCAGCTTGAAATCTGGGGGGGGGGGGCTTCTTCCCACTTCCCCAAAAAACCCCTCAGGTGTTTGTAAAATTGGCAGCTGGTGCACAAATAAGAAAAAAAACACCCTCCATTGCTGGATTTGGCTGGGCAGGGCTAAGCTCTGTGGTGTTGCAAAGCATTATGGGCCTTGTAGTTTCCTGACTCTGAAAGGTTCAGATTTCAGTATATTTTTTAAAAAAAATGTAAAAGAGGAGTTGAATCTGTGGAGGAACCACAATGGAAAATATTATTTTTGCTGTCTGAGACACACAAGAAGGAACTTTCGAAACAGGAAGCCACCCCTGTGTTGCGCCTCAACGGCCTGTCACAAAATGGCCGACTACTTGTCATCCCATGTTTCCCTGAGACACGTTACAGTCTTGTTGGGGGTGGGCCTGTCAGTTGAACCCAAGGTTTGGGACCGTCCCTTTCCTTTCTTTTTGGAATGATAATTCCCAGAATCCTCCATCTCCCCAGGGGATTCTGGGAGTTATACGCCACCTCCCTCCATACAGGCAGGAGCCATGTTGCCTAGTTGCTGGGTTCCATGGCAACGGGGATCCCTCATGGAGGGAGGACGTTCCACCTGGGATGGAGGGCTTGTAGGATTGAGCGGACCCTCTCCCGAAAGGTTGCCTCGCCTAGCAATGGCCGAGGCCTCCCTCCCAGGGTTCAAGGGGGCAAGATGGGCCACGTTGGCCGGTCGGCCGCCTTTCAGATCCCAGCGGCCCTTTTGTTGACGCGTAGGGAAGCCAACAAGTGGTTGGCTTCCCTTTAAAAAAATGGTGGATTGCTCCTCTTTGCAAAGAAATCTGAATTTCATCCATCCCGTCTTCATTTTTCCCAATGTGAAGGATATGGGATTGGATGCAATATCCAAGTTAATTCCTCTTCGGCTTTTGGGACACTTGAGAACAAGATTTTTCGCAATTTAGTTCTGTCCCCCTCCATTTTTTTGGGTAATGTGAGATGGATTTTGAAATTAGGCATTCATCTCAGGGGGCTGGGGGGGCAGCGCCTGAATTTCCCTGATGAATTTGGGTAGGGGGTCTGTGACCAGGGTGGAGTTGATTTCAACTCCAGTTGATTTTAAACAACCATGGTTTTAATTTTTAACCATCATGGTTCAAATTTTTAAAACTCGGGATGGTTTTGACAATTCAGATTTTTTTTTTAAATGAATTTTTATTTTAAATCGTGATTTGAATCAAATTTAATTTTTTAATTACAAAAATCAGCTATTTTTATCCCACTCTGGTTCAGACTGTGAGAAGATAATTTTTTTATTTTCACTTCTGCTCTGAATGGGGCAGGGAGACCCTAGGCCAGGGGGCAAAACTGAGTGTCCCCCCCCAACAATTTAAAATGTTTTTGAGGGGTGGGAAATGTCTACTGCCCTCTCCATGTTTCTGTAACTTTTGGGGGGAGCAGTACTGGGTTTGGGTGAAGCCCCCCCAAGGCCCAGGGATGGCCACCTAGGAAAATTTGTGTCCCCCCCGGCTCTGTGCCATGGTTATAATACTGACCTACCATACAAGACTGTTGTTTGGAACACTGAATATTTGTAAAATATTTCAGACAATCATCAAAGTATGAAATTCACTCTGAGTACTCTTGTAACTTTATTATTATCATTTTTCAGTATTAACTGTATGTACTCTCCAGTTGGGAAGCTGCTGAACATCTCTGGCCAATCTGCCCCATGTAACAAGAACGCTTCAGTGCCGTAATCCTTAAAGGATGTCTGCATTAAACCACAAGAGCTTGTAAGCAGCTTTAAGTCATTCTGCAAAATAAGTAATTTCTGCATTATTATTTTCCTTTATTTTGAAAATGCCTCTTTGTTTTTCTTCTTTTCCCATCTGCAGAGCTGAATGTAAGGCGAAAGGTAAGGGCTGTGTGCCGGTGAGCTTTTAATTTTTTTGAATTAATTTTTGAAAAAAGATAATAATTTTCCTCTTTTCTGATCATTATTTCATATATATTTTCCTCCTCTCCTGCCCTTCGATTTGAAAAGATGTAGAGCTCTATTGTGCTTGGAGAGGACAGTTACTCATTCAGGAGCAGCAACTATGTGACATTGTCTTCCGCTCACCATTTAGTGGCTCCATCCCAGCACAATTGTGAGTATGAGTCATTTTGATTCTTTTTCTGTGGTCCATGTAAACTTCGGTGGCAAGTTGCTGCAACGTAAGAAGTTGGCGTAGGCGTTTGCTCTTGGCCACACTCTCTGTGCTAACTTCTTCACTTATGACCATTCGCTACCTAGATTTACACCTATTACATCACACCAGTGGAAATAACTACCAGTAGGACTATCGTATTTGCAGGATCGGTATCCGTAGTTTCACTTATCTGTGGTCTGAAAATATTAAAAATATTAAAAGAAAAAAAAACTAGACATATGTATTTTCACAATGTAGTTACCAGAACTGGCCAATAGAGGAAGTCAGAGACCGTGCGATGTATTCTTGTTGATGGAATAGATAGCATGGGCTCTGGCTCCCTGTAGTGGCCAGTTCTGGTAATACATCGTGAAAATACTTTTTTCTGGATTTTTTTCTTTTACTATGTTATGTATAGTAGATACGAGGGTCCTACTGTAATGGGATTATCTCCCTGTTTATAGCTGGAAGGCCAAGACAAAACATGGATAATTTTGTACCAGAGAGAGAGAGGGAATAGGTTTTTAAATTTTTATTTGTTTGTTTGTTTTGTTTTGTTTGTGCCCTGCAACCCTCTTTAGAAGGTGTTGGTTGAAAGAAACAAGTGTAACAATCCCAGATTCATTCCAATGCAATTTTAAGCACCTGCTGTTCACCTGGATAAATATTTTCAGACCGTCGATCAGCGTAGCCCATCATTCGTTGTTTCCCTCTTGTTGGCATAACTGGCAAAACATGCCATGGTTTTATCAGAACTCGCCAGCTCTGGTCTTGTGTTCCGTTGACAATCCGGGATTGCAAACCAAGGTTTATTCTTTGTTTATGAATTCAGGCTAGTTCTCAAACAAGCCAGGTTCGTTGCTTTGAAGGAAATGTCCAATTCTTCCTGTTTCGTTGAGTCAGTTGCACTGCCAAGAGGAACTAAGCAGGCGTGAATGGGCCGCGTGCATCCGGTTCACAATAAACCCGGAGTCTCTGGAATTCTGGATTATTGTTCTGCGCAAACACAGCTGTAGCCTTGCATTCTGTCCTGTATTGCTGGCCGTAATCCACCTGTCCCTTCTGTCCAGCACTATGTTTTCTTTGGGGCCATGGCATTGCGTTCCAAATTGCCAGGAGATTTTGACGTCCGTGAATGGGCCGCGTGCATCCGGTTCACAATAAACCCGGAGTCTCTGGAATTCTGGATTATTGTTCTGCGCAAACACAGCTGTAGCCTTGCATTCTGTCCTGTATTGCTGGCCGTAATCCACCTGTCCCTTCTGTCCAGCACTATGTTTTCTTTGGGGCCATGGCATTGCGTTCCAAATTGCCAGGAGATTTTGACGTCCTAGCACAGGAGCCTTGCATTCTGTCCTGTATTGCTGGCCATAATCCACCTGTCCCTTCTGTCCAGTGCTATGTTTTCTTTGGGGCCATGGCATTGTGTTCCAAATTGCCAGGGGATTTTGACGTCCTAGCACAGGGTGTGTGTGTGTGTGTGTGTCTCATGTTTATTCTGTTGTTTTACGATGATCACTGGGTTGGGAGGTTGGAGGGCAGGTGTGAAATCTGTAACCCTCTTCATTCCTTTTGCTAGGCCAACCAAACTAGACATTGGACACGTTGTGGCCATATCTGAATTGAGAAAAAAGTTCCCCGAAGCTGCATTTAGAAGAAACAATTACTCAGATCATGAAGGTACAGTTTGAAAGGATGTAGGCCGTGAAGAGAGGATCCGTCTTCATTTCTTTCTTTGCTTTCGCCATTCTTAGTTTTTTTTTAGTGGGATTATTTGTCAAGAATAATACAGTGGTGCCTCGCATTACGACATTAATTCGTTCCAGCGAAATCGCTGTAGAATGAAAATGTCGTAATGCGAAAAGAAAAAACCCATTGAAACGCATTAAAACTCGTTTAATGCGTTCCAAAGGGCTGCAAACTCACCGTCTAGCAAAGATCCTCCATAGGGCGGCCATTTTCACTGCCTGTGCAGCGAGGAATCTGTCCCAGAAAACAGCGGGGGCCCATTTTGTTTACCCGGCGGTCATTTTAAAACTGACGATCAGCTGTTGGAAAATTGTCGTTTTGCGAAGAATCGGTTCGCGAAGCAGAGAACCGATCATCGCAAAGCGAAATTCCCCCATAGGAAACATCGTTTTGCAATCGCAAAAAGTTCATCGTAATGCGGTTTCGTCATTAAACGGGGCAATCGTAAAGCGAGGCAACACTGTATGTAAGACAATAATTGCTTTTGTGCTAATATGATGTTTCTCTAAGTTTCTTGTAGCTTACAAGGTCTGGGATATTTTGTCATGTTAAAAGATCGAAAAGTTAGAAGGGACAAGGAAGCTGATAAATGATTTATTGAGTATTTGATGTCATCTTTCAGAATAAAAGCTTGTAAGACATTGCTCAATGTTATGCTCAGTTTGAATTGATAACAAGAGATGCATAGAGTAAATTTGTTATTATTTGATCTCTTACCAGTGAACAAAATCCTGTTGCTTAAGCTAGTGTGTATGTCTACTCTAGTAGACCTTGCTACGCAGCAGGTTGGCCACTATATTTGCTTTTTATCTTCATTTTTAAGTAATTGCATTACATCTATTATGAAGTCACTGCAGTATTCTCTTATTATGTTCTCTCTAGCTCTCTGAATTTTTTTGCTTAAAAATGTGAAAAGGCTCTTGTTTTTCTTTTTTCTTGCAGTCATCTCTCAAGACATGCGGTTCCGTTTATATGAAGTGGAAATGTTAAGTCAGGATGGGCCGAAAGTGGAACAATTAATAGAGTACTTGAAAGAAAAAGATCTAGTAAGCACACTGAGATAAGAGAATAGTTTTTTAGCAAAACATTACCTAGACCAGAAAAAGCAGGGGGGGGAACACTTTTATGTGATTTGATCCTAAGAATGTATTGTAGCTAATCAAACCAGGAAAATGTGGGTTTTTAAATTATTGCCTGGTTTAAAAGGTGGTGAAATAAGAGAAAGACTGAAAGCCTTTACAGCAGGCAGAAGAGAAATCTCTTTATGGTGGAATAATAATTCAGGTCTCATGTGGGAAGGCTATTCTGTGGATTTTATAATTCAGCAGGCTATCAGTTAGTATGGGATCTATGCCATAACTATTTGAAATACAGTGGTGCCCCGCAAGACGAATGTAATTCGTTCCGCAAGAATTGCTGTCTTGTGAAAAAATCGTCTTGTGAGGTTCCCTATGGGAACCTCGCAAGACAAATGAAATTTATTCGTCTTGCGAGGCATCGGTCTCAAAAAAAAAAAGGTCTTGCGAAGCATGGCCATAGAAGAAACCGTCTTGCGAGGCACCATAGCGATCGCAAAAACCAATCATCTTGCGGGTTTTTCATCCCGTGAGGCAATCGTCTTGTGAGGCACCACTGTATTTAAGCACTAGTTGGTGCCAAAGGCATAAATGCACAGCGCAGGAAAAGTAAAGACATTTCCGTCCTGCTAATTTCAGTAAGATTTGAGGTGAATGGGCCAGTAGTATTTTTATTTATTTATTTTATTTTATTATTTATTTATTTATATATATCCCGCCTATCTGGTCAATTACGACCACTCTAGGCGGCGATAGTATAATTCAGAAGTGATAAATTTGGAAATGCAGGTGCTCATCACAGTCAGCTTCCCTCGAGAAGTCAAAAGGTGCAGGAACTGGAACAGTTCTTACTGACAAATGAGGAGCAGGTCTTTTGCAGAGCTAATGACTCTTAAAGGCCCACTTGGAATCAAACCGCCCTCTAATACTCTGCATTACAGAAGGGAAAGCTTAGAACAGTATTCTGTTCCCGGGAAAATACGCTTTTTTGCTACCTGCTGTGACGATTGTATAGCTAAGCTCCGAAAGAAAAGGGCAGCCTGAAGTTTTTTTTTGGGGGGGGGGCACAGTTGATGTGCAGTTCCTGCTATCCAGAAAGTCCCAGAGCTTTAACCCCAAGAGCCCTAGCTCCATTATACCATTGATTGGAACCTACAATGTATTTATCCCTGACTGGATCATGATAACGGATCTAGGAGAGAAAAAAGATCTTGAAAGGGTATGACCCCAACAAAGTCTGTGTAGGCTGTCAGAACTGACCGCCTGAAACGACCTCTCTCCCCCAGACCTCTTGGAGTGACGCTTTATGTCAGGGACAGGATGCTTCAGCTTAGCTCCGAGGTGGAGAAAGGGCTTTGGGCTTTCTTGCCCAGAGTTTAGAAACAATATTTAACAGATCCTTGAGAGACGCTCATGTACGCTGGTAGTCGTTTTGTAAACCACTAATTCTTGGGGGGAAAGTTCAAGGAGAAGATCTTTTTTAAAACTATGCGG